TAACCTTGATCATATCTGGCAGATTCTTTTACAGTTAAAATACGATTTACTTTTTTGTTAGCATTTTTTCACTTAAAATAACAAATCTTACAGTTTTGTAAAATGTACTAGAATTTATAGAACTTGGGGTAAGGATGGGTCGCATAGTCGGAACCCGTACAGCAGTAACCACGATCCAGAAATTGGTAATTCAACGAGAATCAAGGTGTTCAATAGATTGCGTCAGCATTTTGTAACATTATTGTAATAATTTAACTAAAAGATGAATACTGAAGACAAGACGAATCTTAAAGTTTTCTGCAGATTATCAATCTACTTCAAATCCAAATTGTGTAATTTAATAATACATTCTTTCCGAAAACAAAATTTTCCCAGTTAAGAACGGCTGAATCAAAAATCTTTTCACTTGCAAAAAGATGCTTCACAAACTCCTCTTTCGATATCTGAAAACTCCATCGTAATGACAAACAGGAGAAGTATCTTTATCGGCAGCCTTGATAGTGATGTCTATTGAGCTACTTCACAATACAACACGCGCTTACATATGAAAGAAAAAAAAAGAGAGAAAGATAAGCACATGACATAACAATAGAGAGAGAATAAGGTGCAAAGAGGAAAGGAAGATCAGCGAAAGGTGACATATCCATCGCTCTAACTATTTTTGTTATTGATTTATTTAAAAATGTCCGTAGGCTATTATTTTTTTTGGATGACCAATAGTCCTAGCACTGCCCTGTTTTTCGCCACCAGTGATAAGAACTTTGCCTGAATTGAGCATGGTTGCAGTATGAGAAGCACGTGTTGTTGAGAGCTTTGCACTAGGAATCCATTTACCTGTTGATGGATCATATATTTCTGAACTATCGAGATAACCTGTGTATCCATAGCCAGCAGTAGCAAGAATTTTTCCTGATTTGAGCATAGTTGTAGTATGAGACGAACGTTCTTCTGTCATACTAGTAATATTTTTCCATTTAGCCGTTGATGGATCATATAATTCACAACTGGCCAAAAAATCTGCATCTCCCACGCCACCAGTGACAAGGACTTTACCCGAACTGAGCAGAATTGAAGTATGAAATTGACGTGGTGTTGCCATACTTCCAATAGTATCCCATTGGTCTGTTGATGGATGATATATTTCAGTAGTAGCCGAATACCTAGCTGATTCGATGCCACCAATGACAAGAACTTCGCCTGACTTGAGTATAGTTGCAGTAGGATTGTAACGTGCTTTTGGTCCCATGCTTTTAAGAGTACTCCACTGACCCGTTGATGGATCATATAGTTGAGAACTAGCCGCATCACTCGTGATAAGTACTTTTCCTGAATTGAGTAGAGTTGCAGTATGACCAGAACGTGCTCCCGTCATGTTTGCAGTAGGACTCCATTTGTTCATTGATGGATCATATATTTCACAACTACTCAGAGCACTGTTTATATCAAAGGTGCTACCACCAGTGACAAGAACTTGGCCCGATTTAAGTAAAGTTGCAGTATGAAAACCACGTGGTGTTGACATGCTTGCAGCACTGTGCCATTGCCCAGTTAATGTATCATATATTTCACATGTAGCTGTATAACCGGTATATCCTCCACTACCACAAACAAGAACATTGCCCGAATTGAGCAGAGTTGCAGTATGAAATATACGTGGTGTTGCCATGCTTCCAGTAGTAGTCCATTGATCCGCTAATGGATCATATATTTCAGTAATAGTCATAGCATTGGATGATTTCTCACCGACAGTGGTTTTGCGTGAATTGAACAGGGTTGCAGCATGAACATTCATACCTAATCCAGCTTCGTTGGAGACGCTAAAATGAAACGAAACATGTGTTTCTATCTGATAGAATCAAAACAAAGATAGATTTTGTACAATTGTAAACACTATTCGAAAACATTCGTGTGTATCTGCCACCAGTACACCGTCAGAGAGAATAATTTCATTGAGTGGATTCATGACAAGTAACCGACGCATACGTTTAGCAGCCGAATCAACTAACGGCATAAGTTCCTTGAACAGAAATTCTCGACTTAAAAAACTAAAAAATCAAATTGTTTATTCAATTAATATCTCTCTTATGCTTTAATTAATTCTCGTTGATTAAACTTTATTGTCATATGAATAAACGACTATGCATGCAGAAAGAAATGAAAAACTATAAATGATCATCTGCTATCGTTAAGAAACATGTCGAATAGATACTTACATCCATGTAAACAAGGAAAGCACAACAAGATAATTCATTGACATCATCCGAAAGTAAAACTTTATTCTTTTTGATATAAGCACTGTGAGAAATGTTTGCCACTATAATAAAAGAATCAAAATGAAATAGAACTAAGCAGAAAAAAAACATTTAAAGCCTTTTAAGAACGACATATGCAATAAGATATATGTCATCTTTCAATTTTCTCATATTGATGATAACAAAAGAAATTTCATTGTTCTTGAAGCACACAAAACTAATAATACACCAGGTCATTCATTGCAAGGACAATCAAGTAAGTGTACTTTAGTAGAATTGTGAAGATTTATTGTTTTATACTTGCTCATATGTCTTCGTCTAGAAACTTGATGAAATTTGCTTTACAAAACTTGAAGTGTTCATTGCTCTTGAAAGCAAAAGTAGATCACAATAGCAATAAAGCATTGTCACTATCAGATGGCCTTTTTTTTACAACGATGACTTTGCTGATTTATAGATTTATTTTTTCCATTAAATAGAATGAAACTCATTCATGATGATGCCTTTTAATGATGAAATAGTTAGAAATATGACATCAGTCACACTTGTGCTCACTTTTTTCGACAACGTGACTGAAAATAAGATATAACATAACAAGTTCCTATATAATTTCTACGAAAAACACGTTTTTAATACAATGTTAAGAATCATTTAGACAACAAATGTAACAATTACTATTTATCTGATCCTGCGCCTAATTATGTCCAAATAGCTAATGAATTCAGTAAAAACAAATTCAAAATATTTAAAAATGCTCTTCAGAAAAATTCGATCGACGAAACGACATTGAAAACAAATCTAAAGTGGCGGACAAAATTTTAAGACACCTCTTGTTTTTCGATTTTCCCCATGAAAGACCACTCAGGATCGACATCTAAATAGTGATTTCGGTAGCTCTCGAAACGGGCTACAAACTCCAGAAGAAAAAAACAATAAAGCTCAGCTATTTTAATTTTTATGACAGAAACCGTTTTTCCCCAGTGGACAAAATTTTAAGGCACTTTTAATATTTTATTAAATTTTTTCCTATGAAATAATTCTTCAAAACTTTTTTATATACCATTCAATACAGAATTGAACGCGCTATCGATTGGTAAAAATTATCTTTTGAAAATCATTAATTATCACTAACTAATACTAATTATATTTAATCAATATTAATTAAAAGTTATAGAAATTTTCCGTTTGAATTTTCGACTTTGAAGGAAATCATTAGAAAGAGCATCGAAAACTGAACAAAATGGTATATAATTGTTATAGAAATAATCTATTTTAGTAGAGTTTTATACAGTTTAGTAAATTTTACTACTACCCTGTACCATTGTTATAGTATGGTGCTATTCACTAGCTCAACTTCAAAACTTAGAATTTAATGCATGTTATACGCCACACTATGAGCTTTCGAATGAGACCTCTCCGCCTTCTACATGATTTACTATTGAACCAGTATAACGTTTTTAGTTTAATGTGTAGTTTTATCTAAGAAAAATAGCTGGAAAACATCGTTAAACTTGGTCTTAAAAACTAGGGTGTGGGTGTGGGTATGGGTATAGTTAGTATAAGATAAACCTAAACCCACACACTCTAAAAAAAAAGGAGTTTTACCGAACCCTCCAAAAAGGTTCCGTAGATGCTTAAAAGCTTCTAAATACGTTCAAACGCTTAAATAGATGATTATCAAAATCTACGAAACCTTAAAAGGATCTGGCCGCGGGTACACCACCGGAACCATCTTCTACGAAACCTTTTTTAAGTTCCGTAGGGCGAAAAAAAGTTTCGTAAGAAAATACGAAACTTTTATGGTTTCGCAGTAGGGTTTTGGACGAAACCATAAGGTCCACTACGAAACCATAAAAGTTTCGTATTTTCTTACGGAACTTTTTTTCGCCCTACGGAACTTAAAAAAGGTTTCGTAGAAGATGGTTCCGGCGGTGTACCCGCGGCCAGATCCTTTTAAGGTTTCGTAGATTTTGATAATCATCTATTTAAGCGTTTGAACATATTTAGAAGCTTTTAAGCATCTACGGAACCTTTTTGGAGGGTTCGGTAAAACTCCTTTTTTTTTAGAGTGCACCTCCTAGTAAAAAAATAATGTATAACGTACAGAAAAGAAACAAAACGATAAAAATAGTGAAACAAAGAGTATGTGCTCCTATTTGAAACCATTTATTTTTCTTGTTCTTTCGTTACATAACTTCACATGTCTGATTATGGTCATATTTGAATTTTTTCTACTTTATCTAACTTGTTATCATTATCTTAAGAACAAAGGTGAATGACTCAACTTTCATGTTGGAAAGGAGAAATCATCAAGAAAAACAATAGAAAAGTCACTTTTATCTGGATATGTCCGCTTTTTTAGTACTTTACATATCTGTATGCTTGAAAAGTATCAAACACATACGATAATACTATCAAACAAAACATTTTTATTTAGATGGCATGGTCTTTTCTTTCCAGTACTAAATATATATATATATCACCTATTACTTTTAGATTTTACCATTTGTTGTCTTCAAACATTATCATTTCAACATGGCCGAAGGTAACAATACAAATCCTAGTGCAGATTTATTGGAAGAAATGTTAAAACAAGGTGACATGGAATTTTTTCCAAAACTTCGCAAACGTGTCGATCGATTTATTGATGTCTTTAATCATCAAGTTACACAAAGAAAATAAAATGAATACAAACATGATTTGATACGTCATCTTGATCCGCTAGAACACAGTATCAGTGTTTTTCAAATGATGACCGCATTACGTGATTTTTTTGATTATGTGAATGGTTTAGGTGTTGGTTCGATGATAGAATCATTACAAGAATCTGGATTTGAAAGTTTACTAAGCGACGATGCTCTTGATTTTTTGGATAATGATAATCTAACAATAAATGAACGTGTGGAAAAATTTTTCGAGCGTCGCGTACGACGACCTTCTCCTGAAGAAATTACTACTCTAGCATCCGAGATAGTGGTAAATATTCGTCAAGTTTTCGAACCATTGAAAGAAAAACTGGTACCGATACAAACTGCTAACACATTGACATTTGGTGCGGTTGATACTATCGGCCAAATAGGAGATATAGCTACAGTTCCTATACAACTATTCTCACGATTTATTCTAAGAGATTCGGAATCGGATAGCATCCGAAAATATCCTAGACTATTATGCCGGGGAAAACCCGAATGGTTTACTAATACTGCAAATTATTTAACTAATTTCGTGATGAGACATGGTGTATCTGACCACCAGCTTGAAGGTTTTCTTCGAGTTGAAGGATTAGAAGATGATTTTCAACATTTCCAATCATGTATTAATCAATGGACCCGACAAGTACGTGAGATGTTACCACTTGATCAAGATTTCATAATTGGAAAATCTGTCGCGATGACCGAACTGGAACGAATGCGTAAATTTTTGTATGCTGTCGTACTCAACAAACCCGAACTGTTACAAGAACACAACAACGCTACCAGACAGGTCATTCATGATGCCGCCGCACAGGAAAGACCTACTAATTATACATCTTTATTACCATGTATTTCTTACGGACAACTTTTGCTTCCAACTGGTGAGAGAAGAATCATTGATTTCACTTTTGTGCTCGTTTCTACTAATAGACATGGTACTGCTGAACGTATACTTGACGATATTAGTAATATGTTTAAAAATGTGAAATCGAAAAAAGTCGAAATGAATGATGGTATACAAATGATTAAATTGAAAGTGGAGATTGATGAAAATGTTCCTCATTTGATCGCAAAAATTATTTCAAAGCTTGCTAATCTTATAGTACGTAGTATTTTAATTGGAAATTTTGGAATCAACGGATTTCGACATGCTATGAATCCAGCTTATAATCGAATTTATAGTTATCAAGAACGAGAAACAGCTGAAGGTTTCATTCCAACATGGTTCTCAACAAGTTTGGATAGAGGAGGAGAACCATATTATTGTCCAGTTGGATGGCGTCGATATGCCATAGATGTTGGTATGACAGGAGCACAATTTGAAAAAGAATATGGGCGATGGGCAATAGCTTATCATGGAACAGCTGGAACCCTAGCAATGGCAATTCTTCTTAATGGACTTCGAGCCAGTGGTCATGGATGTTTTCTCAAAAAAAATCAAAGTGCTGTCTACCTCAGTCCAAGTATCGAATACAGCGGGCATCCTCGTTATGCAAAAGTTCTCCAAATTAAATCCAAATATGTTCAAATGGTACTTCAAGTTCGGATTGATCCGCTACTGATCGAGAAACATCAAGGGACATTGTACGGAGCAATTCCATATGATACAGAAAGAGCAGATCTACATTTTAGTAATAATGAACTCGAATGGATTATTCGATGGAAATCTGGAGAAAATATTAAAGCTCTTAATGGTATCTTGGTATACGGACTGATGTTTCGTGTTACTGATGAGGATCCACAGAATTTACCACAAAACCGATGGTGGAATCATAAATGCCATCGATGCTAGTAACTCAACCTTTTATTAAAACTAATGTTTGTTTTCTTCATGCTTTTTTTTATAATTGTCACTGTGTACCATGCTAAGCATTAATCAAGAAAAATAAATGTACTTATAAACTTGAAAAATATTTTGGAAGAAAATCGTTATAAAACCATTAAATCAGATTGGAAGAAAGAAATGATTTACATTTGAAACCTTCTAACTTCATATCATTCAATTAAATTGAATCTAACAGAAAAGATTAATTCAATAATTATGGAATCGCCACATTCGAGGTGATTCATTGTTGTTAGTGGAAGCACTTTTAGATTAAAACGTGAAAGACGAAGAAGCTGCGCATTTTCTAAATCAAGAATCCCTAGTGAATGTACTGAGCTAATGGTACCTGAAAAAAGTATCCTGCTACTAGTATGTAGCGGCGTAACCAAAAATTTAAGGGTGGGAGGGCTCAGCCCCACACTATATATTACCTTCTATATATGTTCACTATCTTATATATGGAGACTGATATTATTAAACTTTTAAGCACAGTATTAAAGTACACTTAAAAGGGTATTAATAAGGTGTTTGATCCTGATGAGTGACCAGCTCATTCGTATATGTAAACAAAATATTCTGAAGATAAAAAATAAAAGATAACTTTTTATTTCAACATAATCCGACTATTTTTATGAATATCTGCAAATTTATCAATAAGTTGCTCAAAATTGAGCTCAATATCACGTTCAACAGCAATTAAACAAAGATCACTCAAGCGATCATCAGTCATTGTGTTTCTAATTGTTGTTTTGATCATTTTGCAATTGTGTTTTGTTTTGAATTCGATTTCATTTCATCAATGTTAATTTGTTTGAGGTTTTTCAATTTTCAATGTAAAAGACAGCTCATATGTAGATTAGTAGTTTTGATATTCAATAGTTTCATTGTTAAGATGTCACTATTACCTATAGTTGAGACTTAAACATAATCTCAGTCTTACTTATTGTAACGACAAATGTTGTGCTATCTTTCAATTCTAACTCTGACTGCGACTGCAACTGCCTTTATTTCGTAAATGTTCACTCCTTTTATACATCAGTCATGAGAGAGAGAAATATACATTGTTGACGGGAGAAAATATACAACGTTGGCGAAAGAGTTGACTAATAGAAGTGAATACAAAGTGAGATAACATCGTTATGTACAAGCGCACAAAGAAGAGAGATATGACCGTTGACGGATGGAAGAAAGGTAGAACATAATGATGAAACAGCAACAGAGAGAGACAGTGCGGACGAGTATGATTATCGGCACCGTTATAGCATAAAAAGAATCGCACTCGAACGGATGTATATTATATTTGTCGAACCTCATTAATATTAAATTTAAGTTTATAAACGTTAAAATTTGGGTGGTAGGGCTGAGTTCCCCTGGCCCTACCTTGGTTACGCCACTACGCATACATATATACCCGCATCTACGTTCGCAATCGCATGACTCTAACTCTAACTCTAGCACCTACATTTTAGGAATTTGTTGTAATTGAAAGTATTTTGCCTCATTTGAAATTCATTTTTAGTTATGTCAAAGTATTTAAGCGTACTTGAAATTACTTTTCAACATTTTTAGCTTGTTCCACGTATTTCATATTACTTCTAGAAATGTTCATTTACTTCTACCTACTCTGAACTACTTTTGCACTTTGATGTACTTTTCGACTTGAAGCATACCGTTTCCTTCGAGCAAAGCAATCCCATAAGTCTACGCGCATGAAAACTAAGTTATTGAATACTTCAATGTGATGCTAAATATGGTGAATTACACATTATCCCCAAGGCTTTTACCATTTCAGCCTACTAGGTTTTAGATTGGCGTCAGTTATTATTATTTAATGTTGTCATAATATTGAATACTTGCGACGCGATGTTCAACTGTTCAATGTACAGTTTATCGAGTGACATCGATCTTTCATTTCTATCTACTGTTTTTTTTATTTCTAGAAGAATGCATTTGCAAATGAATTCGGTGGTAAATTTTAAGGCCCTTGAAGTACCGACTTTCGGATCGACAGATGACATAATCCATAATAAAATTTAGTCTACCAATTTTACGAGAGAACAGCAGTATAAATTAGACTATGGACTGCCTCAGCAATTGTGTTCTTTGTGACCAGAGCTTCTACAACTAGATCCAGCTTTTAAACCCCTTGCTAAAGACTAAGAATTATAAAGCCTTCGATATTTTTGAAAACAAACCTTCAGAATAGCTTCATGCAAACGATATTGGATTAAACATGCAGATGAAGAGCTAGTAATCTGGAATTTTTTAACTGAGAAGTCCAGTACCCACAACCTTTGCTGTGACTATATCTTGAGAAGTGACTCATACGAGACAATAGGAGAAGAACGCTAATGTATGCGCATGTCAAATGGTTAATACCGTCAGAATTCTCGATCAATAATTGAAAGACTGCAGTGAACATGGCAGTTTCAACTGATATTGCAAATTTCGTAAATCACATGCACTATTTTAAATGCAGCTTACTGTTTTCAAGTTCATATCAATTTTAATCGATACAGTCGATGTCAAAATATTTCTTTATCGTATTAACCTCATTTTCACCATACCTGTATAGAATTGTTTTAAATTTATTCGCTTATTGCTTGTATCTTGGTATTTTGAATATAATCCCGTAGCTTCACTGTAACCTCGTATTTGCATTATATCTTGGACTTCTTGTTGTCTGTCGAAACTTGACGTCTGCCGTACTGTTCTTGCTGAAACATCATGTGTTACTAAGTAAACTTTTTCAGTAAGGTCAGTTGATCGAAATGGTCGTTGAAACCCACCACTTTGTGAGTAAACTTCACGAGCAACATTCATGAAAATGTCCTCAATACGTATGTTGGGTGTTGCGATATGTTCTAATAAACTTCCAGTAAAAATACTATTTCTACCATTTTGTGTTTCATCAAGTGCTGTTTTACCCGGCGCACAGGAAAATGCTATTACCGTATGTGATGACGCGTGCATAGCTGTTAAACCTTGCAATGATGAACTTCGATCTTTTACGGGTTTTCTGCAACAGTCAAATATTAATATTGTTATACGACAGCATTTATCATCTATTTTCTTCATTATATACTGTGCATTAATAGCATGGTTAATAATATAGTCACGCTCACTACCACGATAATCATAATCGTAATCTGAAGGTAGCAAATAATTTTCATTGTCACTTTGTTTTCCATGTCCTGCGAAATAAAATAATGTTAAATCGGTACGTTGAATTCTGGAGGCAAATTCATCAATCATGTCATGAAATTCGTCACGATTGAAATCGATGCCTAATGCGACACTGAATCCGATACGTTCAAGAACGGTCTTAATGTCCTCAGCATCACTGATGCTGCACTTCAGTGGATCCCTGGAGTAACTATTGATACCAATTACCAATGCTCGCTTGTGATGATAAGCAATTGCTGATTCCATTTCTATCTAAAACATTTTTAGAAGTAACTACATACCTATGATTTATGTTAGGTATCATTCAATGCGAACTTCACATAAAAATATTCAAAGAATCAACAGACTGAATCAGAAAACATGCTCCTATATTAGGATTTCGAATAAACCTGTCTACTCTACGTATTGACTGGTGTTGGGCAATAGCGCAACCAAAAAAAGATGATATGATTGAGTAAATTATAGTGCCAGTGAATCTGTTTGTTTGGGTATGGGTATGGATGTGTGAGTGCAGATGGTTGGGGTGTTCTCTTTACTCATCCCACACCCACACCCTTCCAAGAGAGTAAAAAAAAATTTAAAAAAATCATCGTGAAAATGATGAAATGGACAAAAAAATTGATGTATTTCATTTTCAGCGATTAAAATGATAATTTGCGTTAATCTCATTTCGTGATTTGATTTCTAATCAATGTCAGCGAAGGAAAGTGATTAAAAATCAAAATTACGAAATGAGATTAGTAAAAATTTTCAGTTTAATCGATGAAAATGAAGTATGTCAATTTGTTTGTCCGCTTCATCATTACAAATGGCACTTTTTTCATATTTTTCACACGAAAGTCATCATTTTTTTCCGTTTTGCGTGTGAGTGTGGATGTGAGTGGAGTGTGGGTATGGGTGGGTGTAGGTAGGGTGTGGGTGGGATGTGGGTATGAGTGTTGGGTGTGGATGTTGGGTGGTGTGGAGTATGGGTGGAGTGTGTGGGCGTGGGTGGGTGTGGGTGGGCGTAGTTCTTACTCTAGATCATTCCTTTATCATTAACACCCACACCCACACCCACCCACCCACCCATACAAACCCAACATGCACACACAAGCCATACACTCACCCACACTCACACCCACCCACACCAATACCCACACTCTTACAATAATAGGAATGTTAAATTAAGAAAAACGAATTCAAAAGAAATAAAAAATGATGAGAAAATAGCTACGATGCAAACAAAAAATAGGACACCCTTAGAAAGAAAGAATAAAAAAATTACTTTTCGAAATGCCGAAATTAAAGAGCTCTTTATTCTGATGATCGATTAATTCTCACAGCAACTAGTCTGCATGAGATTTTTCACTTCACATATTTTTGCAATAATCTAATTAACCTAGGGAAAATATGTCAGTTCTACATTATAGCCCCAAAGAGACTGTGCTAACAAGCTTTTTTGAAGTATTTATCGGGATTTTTTTAACATTTGGATCCCAACCATTTTATGAGTATTACTATGGTCGGTGGCAATGATGTTCTACGTCACAAGTTTGCCTATCAAGCGGGTAGATAAATTACTGATGTCTTTCAAATTTGTTGCATTATGTTCAATAAATGAATAACATTGAAGCTGAAGCAAAATGAATTGTTTCTACATGGAATGAAGCATTTAACAATGTGTCCACTAATTCTCCATATCGATACATGTTATAATCTCGAATTGACATGTGCTAATTTTGCCTTGGACACTCTTAATGAAAAGTTAAACTATATTCTTGAAATAAACATCATTTTGTGCTAAAAATACCTGCTTTTCGATGAAGGTAGCTCATAATGCTGTGAACAGATAGGAGCTTCTGATGTGTGTCTCATCTCAGGGATATCTTTGTTGTCTAATGGAGAATTGCAACCTGCTAGTTTGAACAGATAACCTTTTATACTATAGCGTTTCGTCCATACAAATAATAACACTGATAGGGCACAAATAACTGCAAATGTGAGAAATAAGCCACTCATTTGTTTAATTGTCATACTAGTTGATTTGTCGGATGTATCAGGACAATTCCTTGTTTGAAACCACTTTTCTTTCAAGTTATCAAGATCACCTGACTCTCTTAATGATAATATATTGACATTTAAATCTTGTTCATATATCCAGTTTTTTGGAATGACAATTCCGAATTCGCTGCTACAGAAATATCCAGGTATCAACGTTAAATTACAATATATATTATTTGTCATATATTCTGCAGCACCACTATCCATAATAGACACATCAATGGTACCAATTAGTAGACTGTCATATACATCTTGGGCATGGTTTAATGGATAAAAATTCATATTACCTTCAGAAATTTCTCGCACATAATAGTCTTTCATAGCCGTGCCGACAACAATACCAATGCGATTGTATGGAATTTTGCCTTTCTTTATATCATCAATCCCAGATATGATATTCGGTGACTTTGCTAGTGTTAAATCAGATGCTAAATTGGCAGTATAACTTGCTACCAATACTAAACTCAAAATATATAATCCGACAGTGAGTAAGCGTCCCGCAGCTGTTGCAACACGAAAATCTGCACCATATCCCATAATTGTGCCAACAGAATACCACCAGCTCATTGCACTGGAAGAAATAAATGATCTATGTTGTAATTCTTGGTTTTCTGAGTGTTCCAATAGACGCATGAATAAGCCAGCAAAGAAGCTGGTAGCTAAGACAATTATCCAAAGATTAGTCGAGAATGGTCCCAAATAGGCAATCAAATCTACATTGCTCATCTGGTTTTTCCGTACAATAAGACAAAGCGAATTATCGAATATTGAATTCGAAAACTTGACTATTTCACTTCGTGCAGCAGTAATTGTGACATCACCTACGACTATATCATAAACACCGTTTGCAACTGCATTGACCAATCCGGCATAAGTCTGATTTGGAGGTGCTAATATAACTTGAGAAATAAAACCCATCCTATTTTGTAAAAGATTAATGAGATCAGGAACATAACCAACTAACGTTGTTTTATTTTGTCCGTATTGATCTATAACATTTGAAATAGTTGTAAATGGAATTGATTCAATAACACCAATGCGTATGTTTACATTGGCAAGTCTTGCAAAACCATTAGGAGGTACTAAGGAATTGTCTGGCCACACAATCGTATTCGATTGTTGCACGTCTATCCAACTGGTATCATCAGACCATTCCAATACGGATACATAATCTATCGTGTTTGAAGAATATTGCACGCTTTGTGCTACATAATATGAACCATTTATTCGATTTGTTACATTTGCACTAAACTGTATAGGACCGGAAACACCAAGAAATGTTGTATTGATGATTCCTTTGAAAAAAGAATTAGAATTCATAAAACGACTATTAAAACAGAATGAAGAATTGACAATCGATATACACGAAGAAGCATTGTTTGCGTTTGTTGAACAAAGTTGTTGCAATGACTGAATTAACGACCAAGTCGAATCAAATGCAAATAATGCATAGTCACTAACGTTTGTCGATCCAGGAAACGATCCGGGTTCGTGCTGCTGCCATATTTGATATGCTGCATTTAACAAAGTTCTATTTATGAGTTTGCCTGAGACATCTAATGTGGGTTGGATTGTTAACATTCCAATTAATTTTTCATGAAAATTTTGATTGAATGAGTTCAACGAAACACTTGAACTTAATATCCATGTAAAGAGTGGACCGAGTACATCAAAATCAAGTGCAGATTGCAGAATCAAGGTGATATACGTTGGCTGAGCCCATAATATTACAATTCGTGATGAACAACTAGTTAAATATGTTTGTAAATTACCTTGAATTTCTAATGTGGCAATATCAAATATAATGCTTTGACTCACATTCAAATTATATCGATTAAATGTTTGTGTAATTGCTTTGAAGGCTCCAGATCCAAAAGCATCATTTTGATAGATAATTATGCATGATGTCCAATTAAACTTAATGAATAGTTGTGCAATTGATAATGCTGCTGTATCATCGGAAGGAACTGTACGATAAAATGCAGGATATGTCTTTCGATCAGCTAACTCAGGATCGGTTGCAGCATAAGATATGACTGGAATACCAATCCTGTTGGCGAAGGGAGCAATAACGAGAACTTCCCTTGACAACTCTGGACCGACAATACCAACAATATTTCCTGTTGATACTGCTAAACAGGTACTACTAAAACAATCCATTACATTACCACTGGTTTGTATAATTTGCCATCCAATAAATTGTCCGTCAATTGTCATGTTATACTCATGAGAAAGAAATATTGCTGCTTTAAACATTGCACGAGAATGTATAGAAATTTCATCAGATTCAGATATATTTGATATATCTTCAAAGATACCTAATAGTTTAATGCTTGAAAAGTCTGATGATGACCAAGTTGTTTGCATGTATTGTGCAGCAGATTGCTCAATGATCACAATTAAGAATAGCGATGGGAAGTTCCACAAGTACAGCATCATTGTGTTTGATTGAAAAAGAGTTATAATGTTTGGTTAAAGTTTTCAAAAATAAAGCCGAAAAGCACGCTAAAATTTAACACATTGTAATTAACTATAAAATAAATTTATTTCTTATTCAACTGTCTTTTTTCGAGTATCTCTTCTCATGCAGTATTAGTTAATAGAATTTGAACACTAAGATGAGGTTTTCGATGAACTAGATCACTGCTCGCTCCATTCTGTATGAGTATTATGCTGAAGAAACTCTACTTCTAGCGTTACAACTCATAAAAAAACGATGCAAAAGTTGAGAAGTCTGTTATTAATGCTAACAATATTTGAATCTGCGAAATATATCCGATCAAAATTCCTTGAATCGTTTCAATTAATTACATGACCGAGCGAACTTACCATTTCGTAGAGAAATCGACATGCCGTTTTTCTATGCAAAACTAAATCTCAGCGACGTTTTTCACTTCACTCCGAAATATGTCGTCATGCTTGTCAAATCGATTATCAGAAAAAACGTTTTCTCTTAAAAAGACGAATAATCCTTTCTTTCATTGAATATAAAACACATTTGTCCAAACGATGTTTACCTTTTACTTAAGATATGGTTTTTTCTGTCACCATAAATCGGAAGGTTAAAGCTTTGATCAGGCAAGCTATCAAAAACAGAAATATAGCGAAAAGAAACGATTTCAAAATTCATTACTAAGAAAATTCGCTTACGAGATACGGATGTATTTCTAATGAATGTCATCGGTTGATCGCTTGATTATTAA